CGAACTCTCAGAGATCCGCCTGCCTCTGCCTCCAGAATGCTGGGATTAAAGGTGTGCGCCACTAAATCCAGTGTCAGTTGTGATGATAATGATGCTTATTATATATTAGCAAGGCAGTGAACTTTTTTTAATAATTTATTTTTATTTTTTTGCCTGCAAGTATGTTTGTATGAAGGTATAGGGTCCCCCAGAACTGCAGTTACAGACAAGTTGTGAGCTGCCATGTGGGTGCTGGGAATTGAACCTGTGTCCTATAGAAGAACAGCCAATGCTGAGTTATCTCTCCAGTCCTCCCTGTGTGTGTGTGTGTGTGTGTGTGTGTGTGTGTGTGTGTGTGTGTGTGTTTGTTGGTTTGAGCAAAAGGCAGGCCTCATGCATGCCATTGTCACAACTCCAAATTCTATGAATAAATTTAAATGCCAGGGAAACAGAGACCTTGTATGTCATGCTTATCTCTTTCAGCAAACCTGGGTCAGTGTCTGAACATGCTCAATAGACTTTCTTTTTCTTTTTTTTAAGACAAGGTCTCTTGGGCTCAAACTCACTATGTAGCTGAGGCCATAATGAGTTTGAACTCCTGACCTTCCTGTCTTCACCTCTTAAATCCTGCAATTATAGGCCTAGGCCAGGAAGCCTGGGTTTTTTGTTTTTTGACAAGGTCTTGGGTGGCTTGATCATTGTTTAGCCCAGGCTGGTCTTGAACTGACAGCATTCTCCTGCCTCAACTCTCAAGTTCACAGATCAAAAAATATTTGTTGAGCCGTATGGTTGTGGCCCCAAACCTTTAATCCCAGCACTCTGGAGCTAGAGGCCAGTGGATCTCTGTGAGTTTGAAGCCAGCCTGGTCTACAAAGCAAGTTCCAGGACAGCCAGGGCTGTTACACAGAGAAACCCTATCTTGAAGAAAAAAAAAACAAAGGCCTAGAATCCTTCCCCCCTTTTTTTTTTCACCGCCCCAGACAAGGTTTCTTTGTTTACCTCTGGCTGTTCTGGAACTCACTCTGTAGACCAGGATAGCCTCAAGAGATGCGCCTGCCTCTGCCTCCTGAGTGCTGGGATTAAAAACTGCCATCACTGCTGACTTCAGAGGCCTAGCATCTTTTCAACAAAACCTCCGGCCCAAAGCTACTTTGTAGTGTTGCATGCTTTAATTCAGTATTAGGTAAGTAGAGGCAAGTGGACCTCTTTGAGTTTTGAGCCAGCATGGTCTACATAGAGAGTTGTAGTCCAGTCAGGGTTACAAGGTGAGACCTTGTCTTAAAAACACAAAACCAAAAACCAATACCAGCCAACCACAGCAGGTATTTTCCTTTTCGTTTTGTATTTTCACAACAGCTGTTTTTCCATCTAAGATTCACAGCTTTTTTGGCTAGGCTGCACATGGAAAAGTACCTCTAGGACCCCGAGCACCTTTTTCTTTATGAATGAACCGGCTCAGGTCTACGCATGTGCAGCTCCCAAAATTCCCGCTCCACGTGAGCCCACTGGTCCCTCCTTGTGGGCGACTCCGCCCGCCCTCATTCTAATTGACCAATGGGGAGCAGCCTGGGGGCGGGGCCGGGAGCCGCCCAGCCGCGTATTCCGCCCCTCCCCCGCCCCTGGCGCCCGGCTCCCTTGCGTAGAGCCGCAGTGTTGTGATCACGTGGGCTGCCCCGGGCGCGCGGCTTGTTTTGATTTCCTTTCCCTTCACCCGGCTTATCTTTGGTGAGCCGCGGTCCTTCCCGGGGTCCCCTGCCGCCTGCACTCCAGCTAGTGTTCGGGCTCTCTTGGTCCGCGCTCCTAGGAGCCCCTCGGAGCGGCGTCCTGTCATGCCTCTGGTGCGCTACAGGAAGGTGGCCATCCTGGGGTACCGCTCGGTAGGTGAGTCTCCGCCCTCCCGAGAGCACCAGCGGTGGCAGCACCGTTGCTTTGTGTCCAGAAGAGGCGCGCTGTCGCGGGAATGTGACTAGAGGAGCCAATGTGGACGGGGAAGAAGTCGTGTGGAGGGATGCTGGAAAAGGAGCACTCAAGGGTTAAAGTGGACCGGGCTGTGGTTGCATCAGTGGTCCCTGAGTTACTCTGGGAACAGGGGTGGGATCAGCATTTGAAGGCGTGGTGGAGGTCTGCGCGAGGCAGACACTTGCAAGTGTCCTTGGGCTGGTGCACTAGATCCTAGGGAGTCCTGGATCTTCCAAAGGGTGAGGTGGGGTGGGGTGGGGCAGGGAAAGGCTTCCTATGGCAGTGCTGAATGCATCCCAGGAGCCAAACTGCTGCGGAGTCAACGCGTAAGGATGTTCGTAGTAGTAGTCCAAGGGGAAGCATTGCTTGGAGCTGGGGGTCTTTCACTGAATGGGAAGCTGATTTGGGATGCGTTTTGGTCCTGGCCACAGTCCGAAAGGACAAACGGTGTGAATGTAGGTGGATGATTATATTACAACAATCTCTGGTCCTTAAAGGGAAGACATCTTTGGCCCATCAATTTGTGGAAGGCGAGTTCCTGGAAGGCTACGATCCTACAGTGGAGAATAGTGAGTAATGTTCTTTAGTGTGAAGGAGATGGAACCTAGATAGACTGGGTACCCTCTCCAATTACATAATTTGATATTTCTTTGTTACCAAGGGGCTGATTTATTTATGTGTTAATCATATCAGTTCTGGGAATCCTGTTCTGTGAGTGTCTAGGGCAGTGGTTCTCAGCCTTCCTAATGCTGTGACCCTTTAGCATTTAACTGCAGTTCCTCATGTTCCCCCACCATAAAATTATTTCATGGCTACTTCATAACTGTAATTTTGCTACTGTTATGAGTTGTAATGCAGGATATATGATATGCAGGATATATGATATTTGACCCTCCAAAAGGTTGTGAGCCACAGGTTGAGAACTGATGGTCTAGAGAGTAGAATTTGTAAGATTTTAGTCCAGGATAGTATAGAATCTTTACTATACTAAAGATGAGGACAGCAAGAACCCTAGCATAACTCTCCAGATCCTGGAAAGTTCCCTGGAACTAGTCTGTCTCTGTTACTCCCAGGGTCAGGAATGTAAAGGAATACACATCACTGGTCCTACAAAGCACCTCACAGTCAAGAAGTTTTCCTCTTTGTTTTTCCAGCTTACAGCAAGACAGTGACTCTTGGCAAAGATGAGTTTCATCTACATCTAGTGGACACAGCAGGGCAGGTACCAATTGGGGTAGGGTGTCCAAATGTTGCAGTTCCCCCTGTATAAAGTCTTGTGGTCTGTGTGTTTCATGTGTGATGTAGTATGAAAAGAAAAGTATTTTAGCTATTAACAGTGTACAAGGCTCATTGGAGCTACTTTATAAATACTTGTTGAATGGGAGCAAGGAATGTCTCTGAGAGGGTCACCTGTATGTTATCCCAACAGCTTGTGCCATTTGAATGGTGTGGCTCTTAATACTCATGTTTCTGTTTCTTGTCAGGATGAGTACAGCATTCTGCCCTATTCGTTCATCATTGGGGTCCATGGTTACGTGCTTGTATATTCTGTCACCTCTCTGCATAGGTGTGTGACTAAGATTTTGAGTGGGGCTTGGAGGACTCAACAATAATCCTAGAACTGAGATTAAAGCTCTATCTCTTATGTTTTGAAGCTTCCAAATCATTAAGAGCCTGTACCAAAAGCTACATGAAGGCCATGGTAAAACTCGGTAAGTGGCCCCAGGAAATAGAATGTGGGAATGAAGGTGTGGAGGAAAGCAATCATGGGGATTCTTCCAGGAGGCTGGCCATGGATCATGCCTGGCTTGTTTGGGGAATCATCTAGCCTTGCTGTAGTTAGACTAGTTGGGGTCCATAGAGATTGGGGAAAGGACTCTTTTTTTTTATTATTAATTTATTTTTTACATTCCAGGAAAAGGGTTCTTATAATCATACAATAGTAACTGCTGTTTCATCACAGGCTACCTGTGGTGCTTGTGGGGAACAAGGCAGATCTCTCTCCAGACAGGTGTGTAAACCCCTGTTGCTCATGGCAAAGGAAAGTAAGTTGTACTAGGGATCAGTCAAGCTGTAGTCCTGCCTGCCTCTGTTTGAGACAGGATCTTCACCATGTAGTCCAGGCTGTCCTTTTAAGTCCCTGTCCTCTTGCCTTTCTAGCAGTGCCAGCGGAGATTGTAGGGGTGGGTCACTATGTCTAGCCATTTTCCCTCTTTTCATCATTACCTTGATGGTTACTTAAGAATAACTCTAACATAAAGCCATAATTCCTATTTCAAGCTTCAGTCTTACATTTACCCATCATGCTTTTGTTTACATGTATTTTTTTCTCACCTCACCCTCATCAAACCTTGGGGGAGGGGTGTGAAGCATCAAGAGGAAATTAAATCTTAAAGAATTTTCAGACAAAAAAAAAAAAAAAAAAGAATTTTCAGACAGCTTGCAGGCATTGTTTGGTTTATTTTTTTGTTGTTGTTGTTTTTTTGGTTTTCAGAGACAGGGATTTTCTCTGTAGCTTTGTAGTCTGTCCTGGAACTCTATAGACCAGGCTGGCCTCACAGAGATCTGCTTGTCTTTGCCTATAGACAGGAACTCTATAGACCAGGCTGGCCTCACAGAGATCTGCTTGTCTTTGCCTCCTGAGTGCTGGGGTTAAAGGCGTGCGCCAGTCTATAGGCATCATTATCTGCCTTCCATCTTTATGTTCCAAATTTGCTTTCAGAGAGGTGCAGTTAATTCAAGGGAAGAAGCTGGCACAGTCCTGGGGCGCTACGTTTATGGAATCATCTGCTAGAGAGAATCAGGTACTGAACCTAAGCTCTAGACTTGGTGACATTGTTGTCCTTACACACTGCTGGGTGGTGGGGATGGTGAGGGAGAGATGTGTTTGCCTCAGGGCTGGTTAGTATTGGCACTGAATCAATTGATATACCTCTGAATCTGCTTATTCCTTATAGTTAACTCAAGATGTTTTCATCAAAGTCATCCAGGAAATTGTCCGTGTGGAGAATTCTTATGGGCAAGACCGCCGATGCTATCTTATGTGAGCTCTTGGCATCGAGTAGCTTCCTTGTTTCTGCTGTATGCATTTTCCAGCCTGGAGACAGAGGCAGAAGACCCTCAGGACTTAACTTGTATGGTTGCCAACTATGTCCCTGGCCCTCTGGGCATATGGTGTGGTGCCCTCATTTTTGCACACTCATCCCAGGTTCTGGTAACCTGGATGTTAATGTTTACAAAGGGGCAAGATGTCTCATGGACACTGGCTTCTAACTCCTTGTTTTTCTAAAGGAACTTTTATAATCTGCACAGTTGGGATATGATATGAGTCTTGGGACCCACCCTCCTGGGTAGGTTTTGGGTTTTGGTTGAGTAAGAACATTGGTTGCTTGGCAGTTCTAAAGTAGAACTGGCTTCTGGGGTGACAATGTGTATTTGCAAATAAACTGAGAAATCTTTTGTCGTTGACTTCTGTCTGGGGAGAGCTGAGGAGCGATGGTTTCAATATTTAGTATGGGATCTTTTCTTACTCCTTGATTACTGAGGACCCCTACCCTAAGATTTAACTACTTGCCTTCTTCATCCGTTTTGCCGTTTTTGTTTTTCTGTACTTCACCAGTGTCTCTTGGGCTGCCCCACCCATGTAAGTTTGTGGGTTCTGAAGATCCCCCTTAACTACAGATATACCGCCCCCTAGTGGCCAGCTGCCATATGCTGACTAGCTGTTGTCCTGGGACCTTGACATTTGCTACACCTGAGCACAGAGGAAGGAAGCCCCTGGTTTCTGGTGATATCAAAGGGAGTAGAGGTAGAGGCTAGAAGTGTGTGATTACCCAAGAAAATTGAGAAAAGTAAAAAGTAATGTGCTTGGTGGACATTAGCTCTGCCACCCTCATGTCCCTTTTTTCTTTCTACATAGTGGTTTTTTTTTTTTTCTTTTTTATTCATTTGCTTATCTTTTTATACCTTGCATGCCTTTGGAATTGTGCTATATTTTAGGTGTCAAAGACTTGTTTCTGTCCTATATTATTCACTGTTGCAGCATGGTGGGTATTTCAGCTAAGTAAGGGCGGGTCTTTTTTATACTACTTTTAAAATTATGTGTGTGGGGTGTGCCTGTGAGTGCAGGTACCTGAGGAGGCAGAGGCTCTGATTCCTTGGAGATGCAGTTACCCAGGGTGGTGAGTCACCGAACATGGGTACTAGAAACTATACATGGGTCCTCTGCATAAGCTGAGCTGTCTGCCTCTCCAGCCCCTGCCTCCCTTTCCCTTGACTACTAACCCACCCTTAAATTCATCCTCAAAAGGAGTTGTAAGGGTTACCTAAGAGGCACCATAGCATAATAGAGGTCAAAGACCTCTGCCAAGTGGGGGAAGCTGCTGTACCCAGTCAGCCTAAGTTTCCCATTTGTGAAGTAAGGTCTAAGTTGGTGTCATGCTTGGTGGTACCCCCCACCCCATTAATCTCAGCATTTTTGAAGGCTGAGGAAGGGGGCCTTCTAGCCTGTATATCATGATGTCACATATTAGCCAAATACTCTGCTACTGAGCTATAGCTCCAGTTTCTTTTTATTTTTTTGTTGAGACAGGGTTTCTCTGTGTAGTTCTGGCTGTCTTGGAACTCATTCTGTAGACCAGGCTGGCCTCAAACTCAATAGAGTTCCATCTACCTCTGCCTCCCAAGGCCTGGGATTAAAGACAAATACCACCACCACCCAGCTATTCCTTTTTTAAAAAATTGTATTTTAAAAATATAGCCGGGAGAGAGTTCCAGGACAGCCTCCAAAGCAACACAGAGAAACCCTGTCTCTGGGGGGAAAAAAAATTATGTGTGTGGGCATACCATAACATTTAAATGGAGGTTAGAAGGCAACTTGCAAGAGTTGATTCTCTTCTACATATGGGTTCTGGGGGTTGAATCAGATCTTCGGGTATGACAGTGTCTTATTTATTGAGCTATCTAGTCAGCCCTCTAGAGAGTTCTTTTGATTTTTTGTTTGTTTGTTTGTTTGTTTTTTGAGACAGGGTTTCTCTGTGTAGCTTTGGAGCCTATCCTGACACTCGCTCTGGAGACCAGGCTGGCCTTGAACTCACAGAGATGTGCCTGCCTCTGCCTCCCGAGCGCTGAGATTAAAGGCGTGCGCCACCAATGCCCAACTCTGATTTTTTTTTTTTTTTTAAGATTCATTTTTAGCTGGGCAGTGGTGGCACACACCTTTAATCCCAGCACTTGGGAGGCAGAGGCAGGTGGATCTCTGTGAGTTCGAGACTAGCTGGTCTACAAAAGCTAGCTCCAGGACAGCCTCCAAAGCCACAGAGAAACCCTGTCTTGAAAAAGAACAACAAAAAAAGATTTCTTTTTCCTATATGGGTGTTTTGCCTATGTGTATACAACACTCACATATTGTGCCCTATGAGGCCAGAAGAGTGCATCAGATCTCTTGGAAATGGAGTTATGGATGGTAGTGAGCCACCAAAGAAAGTTCTAGGAACCAAACCTAAGTCAGCTGGAAGATCAACCAGTGAGCGCCCTTAACTATCGACAATCATTCAGGTCCTGAATATATTGAAATAGGGTCTCACTAGGTAGGCCTTGGCTTTGCTGGTACTGCCTAATTCTCTCAGTAGATGGGTGCCACCAAGTATTTATTTTTAAATTTTTGTTCTTTTGATAGGAGTGTGTGTGTGTGTGTGTGTGTGTGTGTGTGAATGCCTATGCAAAACGTGTGCTGTGGTACGTGTGTGGAGGTCAGAGGACAACTTTCAGGAATTGATTCTCTCTATCCACTGTCCTGGGATCAAAGAGGTTTGGTAGCAAACTACTTTATCTCCTGACCCATCTCAGCCCAGAGGATGATTTTGAAGTCCTCATCTCCCTCCTGCCTTCACACTATTGGATTATATAGGATTGCAGTGCCAAACTCAGCTTAAGACCTTGTATTAAAAAAGAAGCCTTGAGCCGGGCGTTGGTGGCGCATGCCTTTAATCCCAGCACTGGGGAGGCAGAGGCAGGTGGATCTCTGTTAGTTCGAGGCCAGCCTGGTCTCCAGAGCGAGTGCCAGGATAGGCTCCAAGAAAGCTACACAGAGAAACCCTGTCTCGAAAAACCAAAAAAAAAAAAAAAAAAAAAAAAAAAATGCTCAGTGGTTAAGAACATGTATTGTTCTTACAGAGTACCTGAGTTCAATTCCTAGCACCTACATCAGGCAGCTTATAACGGCTTGTAACTCTAGTTCCTGGGGATGGCCCTTATCTCAGGAACATGCACATATACAGGCATATATACATGTACACATAAAAAAAAAAAAAAAAGCCTTGGAGCTCAGTGGTAAAGAGTGCTTAATGCTTTTGCAGAGGACCTAGGTTTGGTTCCCAGCCCCCACACAGTGGCTCATAACTGCCCATAACTTCAGTTCTAGGGGCTTTGATGCCCTCTTCTGGCCTCTGGAGGTTCCTGTATCCAGAGGTGGTACATACAAATACATGTATAAATATAAATTTTAAGTCTGTTTCTGAGGATTTAAGTGGGGAATGAGGGGCCAGGTATGGTACATGCCTTTAATTTCAGCTCTCGGGAGGCAGAAGCAACATGGATCTGAGTTAGAGGGCAGCCTTGTCTAGATGGCAGATTCTAGGGTAGTCAGGGTTACACAAGACCTTATCTAAAAAACAAAACAACCCCCACCAAAAAAAATCCCTGAAAACAAAAAGTGAGGATTGAGGTAATATATCCAATGTTCAGGATAGTCAATCACAGATTTATTTGTCAGTGAGGGTCGGCTCTCCTTTTTGGGTACAGGCGGCAAGGAGGCGCCTTCCACTTTTCAACTCCTAGTTAAACTAGTTCTACTATAGCTTGAGACAGATGTGGGGTCACTTGAAGTTTCTTTTTTAAAAATTTTGCTGAACCAGGCTTCAGAGATCAGACTAGAGAACATGATGCCAGTTGGCAGATAGCAGCATGAGTGTCCTACTGATCTTCCCATGACTGTGGCCTGATCAATTGGCACTGTCCAATATGTAAGGTCACACATGACTAAGGTTAACATAGTTATAATTAAGTTACTGAGTTGCACCACCTACCAACATTTCAAAGTACTCAATAGCTACATGTATCTAATGGTTATATTCATGTGGATACAGCACATTTCCATCAGAGTGATAGCTTCAGACCTAATTTGCTAGCTTCTTTCTACTTTTTCCTCTTAATTTTAAAATTGCATTCATTTATTTATCGTGTGTGCTTGTGTGTGGGGGCACAATGGGTATGTGAAGGCCAGAGGACAGCTTGCAATGACTTCTTTCCTTCTCCACTAGGTGGGCCACAGGGATCAATCCCAGGTCTTCAGGGCTTGGCAGTAAGCGCCTTTTATCCTCCAGGCCATCTCATTGGCCCTGAAATCTTTTTTTTTTTTTTTTTTTTTAATCTATAGGGAGCCTGTTGTTTTTGGTTTGAATTATGGGTTAACTTCTCAGGGTGATTCCTTGGCGATTTCCTCTAGTTTAGCCTCAGTCTTTTCATCTGTAATATGGAGATAATTCCCCCATGCTGGTGAGGAAAAACTATGATATAAAGTATCAAGTACACAGTTAATTTGTCTCAACCTCTCAACCTGCTTACTCCAAGTATAGTCTATGCAGAAAAGGTAATTGTATTTTTCCGATAGTCTATGCAGAAAAGGTTGGGGCGCGAGCGTTTGCCAAGGTCTTATCCAGATTAACTATATTCCAGCCAACTAGCACGGTATTTAGCTTAGTTTTTTTTTTTTTTTTTTTAAATAGGGAGACAGGTTCTGAAGATTTTGGGGAAAAATTAAATACGGGTTGAGACTCCAGATAGATGTTTTGGTAGGGAAGTGGTGTTTGGGGATCGTGAGGTCACAGTCTTTCCGCACGAAAGGGTCTTGGAGTTAGAAGACCTGAGACTCGCCAAGCTCTTTTCCGGCCCCCCGAACGTGGCAAGAACCCACCCTTTGCAGCGCCAGGCGCTGTGCCTCACTTTCTCCATTTGCGGACTCCAGTTCCCAGGATGCAGAGCAGCGGCCAATCTAAAGGCTCTTTTTCCATTTACCCCCCCCCCCCCCCCCCCCCCCGCCCCATGGCAATGTTTTTGCCCAGCCAAAGCAAAGAGTTCCAAGGGTCAATCTCTTTTTAGGGAACAGAATTAAGAAGTGGCCAGAATCCTAGTTTCACCACCCAGAAGGTGAAGGAGGCAGTTCCTGGGCTGCGGCGGCGAAGAGGGGGGCTTTATTCCCACGTGTCTGCCCGGCGGCCAGCCTGGCGCAGTAGGGGTTAACCTGCGGCGGAGGGATCCCGGAGCGTGTGCGTAGAACTGCAGAGTCACAGCCTTTCCTCCAAGAGGGTTGTACCCCTCCGCCGCCCCGCTCCAACACAAAATAGGGCCTCCTCTTCTCCTTTCTCCCCTTCGGGAGTGGGGTTCCCCAGGCAAAAGGCCCCCCCTGGACC